TAACATACAAAATGTTCAAAATGTCCAGTTTTTTTTTTTTGTTATGTGAACATTAAAGGGACATTCAATTTTATGATTTTGCAAACATTATGGGAACGGATGTTCTCTGAACGTTTTGAAATAAGTAACATTTAAAAAATGGAATTCAGAGAAAATGTTCCATGAACAATGTATAAATAACACGTTTTGAGAACACTATTAAAAACCAAACTCTAAACGAACATTCTATTAATATTACTGCAAGAACGTTTGTTCATAACTTTGAGTGAACATTGTCAGAGCATTCTGAGAACGTTCCCTGTTAGCTGGGTTTATGTTTCGCCTTTTTCACCACAGATCAAATATGGCATGTCAAGATGTGTTTTTGTCCTTTTTGAAGCTTGAAAATCAAAAATAAGCGGGTGAACAGATGACAACAAAGTATTATTTTAGGTTAAACTGTATTGTACATTTAAATATAGAGATGGTGAAATGAAAGCACAGGTATTTCACAGCACTGGTTCCTGTTGAACACATTAAGCAGAATTATCCTCAAGCATGTTCTGTTGTTAATTAAACACTATGAGTTTTCCACACATTCAGGACAGGGACATTCACTCTGGGCCCAAACCAGGTGTCTACCTGTGTCAGAGTCACAAAATGAACCGTCTAGCATCACGAATGCTCTGAGAGAGAGAGAGAGAGAGAGAGAGGCGCTGCCACCAGAGGCTGTAGTCTGAAGTGGTTTCCTTGGAAACGGAAGAAAAGATTCTAAGTTTATTTGCTATCAGTATAATGTTATTTATGCAAAGAGTGAACCAAGTGACACTCAAGGTTTACCGTGTTTTACCTGACAGGTGGGACTGTTGCTCTGGATATTGAAGAGTTACATATCTCTTATAGAATAAACCATATATTTAAATGGAAATAAAAATGATTGCATTGAAAAAAAAATTTCAATGTATAATATAGATCCATCTATATATTGTGTGTGTGTGTGTGTGTGTGTGTACTCTATATATTCTAATATTAATTCATGTTTATTATATAAGGAAAACAGAATTATAATTACATCTAAGTATAATGAGAATTATAATTTACTTTTAATAATCTATTTAATTTTTACCAGTCTAGACTTTTGTTTTTATCATTTTTATTATTTATTCATCATTAAAGGTGTATCTTTTTATACATTTATAATTAGAGACATTTGAATTTTATCATTTTTATTATTTATTTATAATTAAAGTTATTTTTTTACATTTATAATTACATATAGTGCTAATTAAAATGGCATTGCAATGGTTTCATTTTCCATTAAATTCATTTAGATTTTGCAGATGCAAATCTATTAGTATATTTTCCTTTGCAAAGCTTGACATAGTACATTTAATTAATCGTTTTTATATATTTATATAAACTTCATTATGTTTTCTGTGATGAAGGTGTGTGTAGGTCATTTTGCAGCAGTGTGTGTGTGAGAGAGAGAGAGAGAGTCTGCTGTCACAAGGAAACATGATGCTATAGTTTCCTAAAAATAACACGCACGCAAAAAGGGGGAAAAAAGAGCGAGAAGGAAAAAGAGACCTTACATAAGACCTGACTGCTGCTCTACACCTCCTGCCTCAAGTGCTTTTCTCCTGCTCTCTTTCTCTCACACACTCGCACACACACACCCTTTCTCTCTCCGTTTGTCCTCATTCTTGATTTGGCCACAGGATGGCACCATGCAATAGAAATGAAAGCTTGATTTCTAGATTTCTACTAGCACATCACCTTTATGACCCTAAAGATTTTCTTCTAATAATGATGAGATCTTGTTTTGCAGGCTTGGGGGAACCATCTCAGCTTACAAAATCGTTCCCGATGAAATCGATGAGATCAAGGTACGTTTCAAAATTCAGGTAACAGGAAAATAAAATCAACAAAATCTAACAAAATCTCAGTTCACTTAACACCACAGTTTAAAAGTTTGGCGTCAGTAGGAAAAAAAACAAATACTTTTATTCAGTGAAGATGCATTAAATTGACATTTATAAATGTAACAAAATATTTCTATTTCAGATAGATGCTGTTCTTTTCAACTTTCCATTCAGTTTTCAACATTGATAATAATCAGAAATGTTTCTTTAGCAGCAAATCAGCATATTAGAATGATTTCTGAAGGATCATGTGGCACTGAAGTATGGAGTAATGATGCTGAAAATTCAGCTTTGATCACAGAAATAAATTACATTTTTATATATTTTCAAATAGAAAAGTTATTTTAAATGGTAATAATATTTCACAATTTTTACATTTTTTTCTGTATTTTTTAAATAAATCAAATAAATACAGCCTTGATGAGCATAAGAGACCTCTTTCAGAAACATGTAAATGTGTGTGTTTACTGACGTTTGTTTCTTTTGTCTGGTTCAGGAGACTCTGATCGACTGGTGTGATGAGAAAGAGTTAAACCTGATTTTGACCACTGGTGGCACTGGCTTTGCTCCACGGGATGTCACGCCTGAGGTTGGTCCTGCGCTACATATACGTGTGTGGAGAGTGAGATGTGTGTTCCTGCCTAAAATATTCTCTTACAGACCTCAAAAACTCTGACCATAAGCCATCATTTATAAAATGAGAACCATGCAAAATAGAAGCATTTTCACTAGTGGTCTCAGATTTTGGACTCTGTATTTCTCAGCAAAGGGAAACTCTGGGACTCTCTCTCTCTCTCTGGACCCATGAGTCTCATCAATACTCCTCCTTTGATGTTTTCCCTCGTTCTTCTCCCTCTATCCCTCTAATGATGTTTGAAGTGTCACTCAAGGACAAAGAACACACACACACAGAGACACACAGATGATTATTTTGTGCAGTGAGGGATACTGTAGGATCACCCAGGGTTTTAATGTGACCAGCCCGTTGATCTGTGACATTCCTGTGAAGCTTCTCTCCCAGAGGAACACGGTATTGCTCAGAGGTTGCTCTTCAATAGCTCAGAAGACATAATGAAGTTCTTAGTAATGTTTAATTTCATGAAATATATAAATGATTAACTTTGTCTTAAGAGAATTAAAAACAGACATATAAGACAGTTGTTGACATACAATAAGTGATGCTCTAATGTGGATAGCAGCTCAGATCATTTCATGAAAAATGTTTGAGTTCATATTTGAGATCTCTGATTTTTGATTGCAATCTTTGGTATCTTGGCACATTTGAACACAGTTTGAGACTCCTTCATTTAATCTCAACAGGTCTAGACATATTTGACACATTAAAGAGACATAATTTGTCGTCCTGTCTGTCTGTCCAGGCCACTAAAGAGGTGATCGAGCGGGAAGCTCCAGGGATGTCTCTGGCCATGCTGGTGGGCTCTCTGAAAGTCACTCCTCTGGGAATGCTCTCCAGGTCTCACTTCAACACATCCTCAACATGCTTGTCTCAGTGTAGAAGAACTTTGACTTTCATTCATAATTATACTCATCAGGATATTCAGAGAAAACTGATCCAGATCAGCCTCTCAATCAAAGACATTGACTTCATTAAAATCAGACTTTCATTGGCTCGTACATAAGCTTCCAGTAGAGAAATACAACAGCTAGATACAGAATTATAGGAACATTTTCAGAATATAATAATAATGCAAATATCAGAATTTCATGGAAGCCTGTTTCTGCAATGGAATGAAAAAAAAAAACTTTGCCTAACAATTCTGACTCTTTTTTTTTTTTTTTCAGAATTGCGAGAAAAAAGTCAAAATTGAGAGATAAAAAAAATCGCAATTAATTTATTTTTATCCCATGGCGTAAACAAGCTTCTGTGGAATACTATTATATTCAGAATTACAATTTACAATTATTTCCTGTTTGCCCACAAATAATAATAATAATAATAATAATAATAATAATCACTATGTACAGCATATACTACTGTTAAAAGTACTGTTTAATTTTTTTATTATTTTTAACAGTAAAATATACAAAAATACAATAAAAACTTTAAATATTGTGAAATATTATTACAAATTAAAATAGCTGATTTCCACTGTAATATACTGTAAAATGTAATTTATTTCTGTGATCAAAGCTGAATTTTCAGCATCATTACTCCAATCTTCAGTGTCACGTGATCCTTCAGAAATCATTCTAATATTCTGATTTGCTGCTCAAGAAACATTTCTGATTATTATCAATGATGAAATGATGTCTCTTTTGAATTGTCTTGATTTGTGTGTGTACAGACCTGTGTGTGGTATCCGAGGGAAAACTCTCATCATAAATTTGCCAGGCAGTAAAAAAGGTTCACAGGTAAGAATCATTTTTTTCTTTCATTAAGTGTGTGGTTAGTCGTATGTCTCAGTACTGGTCTGCCAGTATGTACTCCATTAGCCAAAACTTATAATGTAGTACTTCTAGTAATCCAACTCATATATAATAAATGATAAATGGGAGTGTTTTACACATAAAGTGCAAGTTTAATTCTGTTTGTGTACTTGCTTGTGATCTCCATAAAATATACATTAATGGGTGCTGGAAATAGAGATAAACATGAATAATTATAGAGCTCTTTTTGGATCAGTCCAGAATAGTTTACTTAAGGGTCATAATTAGGGCTGAACGATTTTGGAAAATAATCAAATTGCGATTTTTTTTTACCAATATTGTGATTGCGATTAAATATGCAAATTTTTTTTTAAAGCTCTTTATGTTCTGTATTATTCAACAAAGACAAGCTATAAATCATTGTATAGTATGACCAACACAATATTATATAGATTAAACATAAATGTTCTTTTCTGTAGGCCAGGCCTATATGTTACGATGAAATTAGGTGATGCATGAATTGATATGAATGACATTTTTATTTAACAACTACAATCACAGTACATTGACTGATTTGTTGAACTTCCAACATTGTAAGCATGATAATTATGTTTAAATAAGCCTGGTGTAAACATTAACATGAAAGTCAGTAACAAATCACATCTGCATTTAGCATTTGAATGACCAGCATCTGCCTGGGTCTGTGCGACTTCATCTATGGCTTTTCTCTTTGCTTTCACAAACCGATCCATCTCCCATTCTAAGTTACGTCCTTTGGCTGTTTACTGTTTTATTTATTTTCTTTTTCTGCTGATGGCCCGCGCTCGACTTGAAGCAGCGCTGCTTAGACCGATGGGTGTGTGTCATCAAAGTACTGAGAGAGCTATAAGAGAGCGCGGACGTCTCCTTATGCTTTCTCTCGCCTTACTTTGATGTCATACACCGATCTGATCTTCAAGTCGAACACCCCTCTTTACTCTCGCGTGTCACGTGACCGTGTAATCGCAGCCTCTGCGATTGAAAAATCGCGTTATTTCATATCGCGATATTATCGCAAATGCAATTAATTGTTCAGCCCTAGTCATAATTTTTTCATTGCTTGGTCAATTTATGAGAAACACCATGGACGGAGACACTGTTTGTACAACTTTTTTTTTTTAATTGTACTTTACTATCAATTTCAATAAATCACCTATAATAGCAGTTTATCCCAAATATGGTATTTTAATAGAGATACTATTATAGGTTTTATTAATATTTTGAATTGTATTTTATTTTTATATTTTCTGTTTTCATTTTAATTTAAGTTGTATAAATTTTGTTGTGTTTTGTAATTTTTATTAGTTTTTCTAATATGTCTATTTCCATTTTTATTTTAGTGTTAGTTATTTTATTTCATGAAGGTAACCTAAACAAAAATGAGATGTGTTGCCTTTTTTAAATATTTCATTTTGTTTTAGCTCAAATTTATTTTATTTCAAATAACAATTTTTTTATGGTTTTAGTTTTAGTTAGGCCTTACTATAATAATGCTGTTTTATCCCATACAAAAAAGTACTTCCATGGTAAATGTTTGTTAGTGATTTTAAGTAGGATTGTATATTGAGCAAGATTTGAATTCAAAAATTGGGTAGCTGCGCCTTTTTATGGTTTCTTTGTTATTGTAAAACAGATCAGTTCCGGTGCTTGATGCTGATTAGTCAGTATCTGTGTTTTTCCCCGACCAGATCTGTGCGCAACACCCTTAGCAACATAAACAATCCATATACTGTCGAAAACTCTTTCATGTGTTTTGTATTTCAGGTAAAGTAGTTTTTTTATTGTTTATGTAATAAAGTATGAGTGACCTCTGCTGGTGTTATATTGCGTCATTCACCTTTAATTTTGAGACCACGCCCTTCCCGCTGTCAAAGGAGGAACGTTTTCTCATGCTGAGAGATAAACAAATGAATGTAAGGAAATATCATATATCGTGTTAAAAATAAATGGCACAGCTGATAAAAACAACTTTTAGGCTCTGTTTGTATTTGAGCTCCAAACAGATCAGTTCCGGTGCTTGATGCTGATTAGTCAGTATCTGTGTTTTTCCCCGACCAGATCTGACCCTTAGCAACATAAACAATCCATATACTGTCGAAAACTTTTTCATGTGTTTTGTATTTCAGGTAAAGTAGTTTTTTTATTGTTTATGTAATAAAGTATGAGTGACCTCTGCTGGTGTTATATTGCGTCATTCACCTTTAATTTTGAGACCACGCCCTTCCCGCTGTCAAAGGAGGAACGTTTTCTCATGCTGAGAGATAAACAAATGAATGTAAGGAAATATCATATATCGTGTTAAAAATAAATGGCACAGCTGATAAAAACAACTTTTAGGCTCTGTTTGTATTTGAGCTCCATCAGATGAGCGTGTCACCGCTGTTTACTGTAACTGTCAGGGACTATTTTTCCTAGCGATAGAGTGGCTATTAAAGATTTTCCTGAAACAAAAAGTACCATTAAGGGGTGATAGTGAAGGAGGTGCCCAATGAGCTGGAGGACCTGCCCTCGCCTCCGCCTCCTCCGTCCCCGCTGCCCACCAGCAGCCAGCACTGCCAGACCGAGGACAAGGGCGTGCAGTGTGAGGAAGAGGAGGAGGAGAAGAAGGACAGTGGTGTGGCCTCCACAGAGGACAGCTCCTCCTCGCACATCACCGCCGCCTCTATCGCTGCCAAGGTAACCCTGTAGCTGTAGTTATATATAAATTAGTTATGCTCTACAAAAGTGTTTCTCACATGACTCTGTTGGACGTTTGCAGGTGTTCCGTTTGTCTTCATTCCCATCATGATATTGTGTGTCATCTTCATGTGTGCTGAAACGTCCTCTGGTGTGAGTGAATATCACAACATTATCTTCACATCATTTGTGTCAGACTCTGTTCCATGTCTGTTTTCTTCCCCCACGTGCTCCATGTTTATGATTATGTCCTTATTTGGTCCTTCCGGTTCCTGTCCCCATTTAGTTCTATGTGTTCCAGGTGTTCCTTGTTATTAGTTATCCTCCTCACCTGTCTGCCCCTCGTTATCTGCCCTATTTGAGTTCTAGCCCGTGCTGTTCTCCCTTGTCCGGAATTGTATATGTCTACCCTTGCTACGCGTGTTTTCCTGGTTCTCTGGATATGATTAAAGTCTATATGCTTGAATTCGACTCTGCGTCTCCTCATTCTGAGCTTCGAGCTCCTCACAGTAGCGAACCGTGACAGAATTCTGGACCGAAACAGAAAAGTAGGCGGCGCCCCTTCTCCCGTGTTTTTGTTTTATAAGTCTTTTGTTTTCCATTTTGTTTCTCCCTACCAACATGGAGGAACGAGCGATGTTCATCGCCGTGGCTCAGGCGAGCCACGACCCGATCACCTACGCGAGGGCATTCGTGCCGCTCGCCCTCGCCAGCTCCCTCGATGGGGAGACCCTCGTGATGCTGTTCCAGCTCTGGGTCACTTACCATCAGTCAACGGAGCTCCCAGACACCACCAACCTCGACTGGAAGGAGGCAGTCATCCGGTGTCTGGAGAGCCTCCGATCCCGATCCGGAACCCCTCCACCGGCCGTTCCACAGTCAAGCCCGTCGGCCGCTCCAAAATCAAGCCTGCTTGCCGCGGCATTCTCAAGCCCCCCGGCCGTTCCTCTGTCAAGCCCGCCGACCCCGGCTCACTCAAGCCCGCCGACCACGCCTTTCTCCCCGAACCTAAAGGGGAATCGAAGGAGGAGAAGGCTCAATCCCCAGTGTCGACTCCAGCCCAGCTCCAGTCCCCGAGTTTAGCCCAGTGAGGGTTTCTCTGTCCCCGAGATTAGCCCAGAAAGGGCCCCTGTCCCCGAGTCTAGCCCAGTGAGGGTCCCTGTCCCCGAGTTTAGCCCAGTCCAAGGTCAGGCCTCCTGAACTGTCTGCTCCGCCATGGCCTCCTGAACTGTCTGATCCGCAATGGCCTTCTGAGCTCCCTGCTCCGCCATGGCATTCTGAACTGTCTGCTCCGCCATGGCCTTTTGAGTTCCCTGCTCCGCCGTGGCCTCCTGAACTGTCTGCTCCGCCATGGCCTCCTGAACTGTCTGATCCGCAACGGCCTCCTGAGCTCCCTGCTCTGCCATGGCATTCTGAACTGTCTGCTCCGCCATGGCCTTTTGAGTTCCCTGCTCCGCCGTGGCCTCCTGAACTGTCTGCTCCGCCATGGCCTCCTGAACTGCCTGCTCCGCCATGGCTTCCTAGTCTGCCTGCTCCGCCATGGCTTCCTAATCTGCCTGCTCCGCCATCACGCCCCGAGCTCCCTGCTCCCTGCTCCGCCATGGCACCCTGGAATGCCTGATCCGCCCTGGAGGTATTCCCCGTGTCCCAGTCCTGCACCAGCCTCCAGGGCACTCACCCTCTGCGGGACGCGCCTTCCGGGAGGGGGGAGTAATGTCAGACTCTGTTCCGTGTCTGTGTGTGTTTTCTTCCCCGACGTGCTCCATGTTTATGATTATGTCCTTATTTGGTCCTTCCGGTTCCTGTCCCCATTTAGTTCTATGTGTTCCTTGTTATTAGTTATCCTCCTCACCTGTCTGCCCCTCGTTATCTGCCCTATTTGAGTTCTAGCCTGTGCTGTCCTCCCTTGTCCAGAATTGTATATGTCTAGTCTTGCTCCGTTTTCCTGGTTCCCTGGATATGATTAAAGTCTATATGTTTGAATTCGACTCTGCGTCTCCTCGTTCCTCGCTCTGTGCTCCTCACAGTAGCGAACCGTGACAATTTGTGTGCTTGTTGTGTTTATGTCCCCTTCATTCGTCATTTATATACTATTAGAGTTTATCAGCATTTTGAATGAGCTTTTATCTATATTTGTTTGGTTTTCATTTTAATTTCAAGTCATTTTGTAATGTGCTTTTGTCATTACTATTTAGATTTAATTTGTTTAATTTATTTATTTTATTTTTTATTTTATTTTATTTTATTTAGTTTATTCTAGTTTAGTTGAATTTGTTAGAAATTTTAGTACTTTTGACTTTCTAATTTTTTTCTAACATTTCTAAAGTTTTAAAGTCATCTAATAATTATACCTTTATTCACCATTACACATTAAGGCTTCAAGTAAAGTGTTACAGAATTACAGAGTTACAGACTTAAGTGAGATCTGAATGTAATGTTTCAGACACTTAACTGCATGTTATTTGCAATTAAATGAAAATGTATTATAATTAAATTTATAATAAATGAAATTAGTTGAACTTTAGAGTGTTTTTGACCCATTTATGTGGGACTTAAGTACATCTTTATATGTAATTCCATAATTAAATCTATTGTAGAATGTAAACTAAATGTAATGTCATTTTTATTCAAACTTGTATGCCATGTATTTAAATATATTTGTAATTGCTGATTTTTAATGATGTTGCAATTTAATATATTTAAAATATATTAAATATATTAAGCATGTGTCTACATGCATTACCTCAAAATTCATTGTTTTTTTTAAGTTCATGCATTTAAAAACCTTATTGTAAGATTCGGCTTAACATTCCCCTCAATTTTCTGCTGAAAACTGAAAAGGTTGATATTGAACTGCCACAATCTCCTCCTTTTTAACGTAGCAAGTGGTTCTGGGTCATATTAGGCCAAAAAAAAAATGCACACTTCAAAATCTAGAAATTCTGTACCATCCATGCACTTTTAGCCAGTGGTGTATAAAGTACCTGAAAGCCATACTCAAGTAAAAGTACAGATATCTTACCAGAAAATGACTTTGGTAGAAGTTGAAGTCACCGTTTAGAATATTACTTGAGTAAAAGTCTTAAAGTATGTGATATTTATTGTACTCAAGAACGAAAAGTATTTTTTTAATCGTAAACGTACTTAAGTATTGAAAGTAAAAGTACAAGTAAATGCAAAATGGAAAAGAAGCAAATAAATATATATAAAAAATGTTCATACACAGCTTGAGTAGCAAGATTGTGTTCAGTTTTAACTCTTTCTTCCATTTTGTATTTTTGGGTAAGAATAAGAAGCACTTCATCCGGTACTTATGTTTCATTCCAACATAAGAAAACATTTATGGAATCTGCATCTGAAGTGGCATTTAGATGTATTTACACAGTTTAGTGTATCTCAGAGGGGACATGAATGCATTTAACCTGCAGTTACAGATGCATAAATAGGCCTAATGTTTTGTTTTTAACATAAAACGTTGAATACTGATATTTGAAATAATTTAAAACATGAAAAAAATAGTCGCAATGTGAAATTAAAACCGCAAGTAGGTGACAGTAAGTGACTGTTAATGAGTGAGTCATTGAGATTCAACCGATTCATTCAAACGACTGACTCATTCAGAATTAAAGCATTTGACTGTGCTAATGACTGAATCACTGAATTATATTCAACCGATTCGTTCAAAAAGCTGATTCATTCCATAAGTAAACACGGTCCATTGCTCAGAGACACAAAACAGTGCTGTGACCTTTGTTTGGAACTATTTTCGTTGGCAACATTGAGCAAAAACAAGCAATACTATGTCTAAAATGTAAGTCACTTATTGCTTTACTGAACTTGTATCAAATGATTATTAAATGTGTTCATGCTGAAAAATGGTACTCTTTGTGTCATATAGATTAAGTTAACTATATTAAATTATATAAATATAAAAAAGCATACAGAAGCATTTTTGCTGTCTACAAGTTAGAATGCCTGGAATTTTGAGTTTTAATAGACTAATAAATCAACGTGCGTGCAATGTCTGTGTGTGAACCTAGAAGTTACTTGATAATGTCAGATCGCACATCATTACAACAACACTTGCCATATTATCGCAGACGATGCTGTATTTCGCAGACCCCAGACTCGACTTGAGTGGAAAATGAATCATCCGTGGTTGTGCGCGCACTTGTTTGGTTTGCACATGAGCAAAGGTGTTTTTAGGAGTCTAACTTGCAAACGCCAGACCACTGATTCGTCAAACCTGCTTTCCTGCAGGCCGTGTTCTTCTGACTTCTGACTATTTTTTTAGTAAGTAACGAATATGCTTCGGGGAAGTGTATCGGAGTAAAAGCATACATTTTAATTAGGAAATGTAGTGGAGTAAAAGTAAAAGTTGGCAGAAATATAAAAATTCAAGTAAAGTACAGATACTCCCAAAAAATACTTAAGTACTGTAACGAAGTAATAATACTAATACACCACTGCTTTTAGCATACTATTTTCAGTGTACTACAACCTGGAACACACTCAATAGTATGCAGATTAGGACGTATGCAAAATGTGTGATTAGAAACGTGAAAAAAACATGTTGCATCATAAGTTCAGTGGAAATAAATGCTTTCAAAACTTGCAAACTTTGACTTTTTACATTATATAATGCACAAATAATAAGAGAGCATATGTTTGGGTGTTTATGATTTTAATAAACATCCTTCTTTCGTGTCTCAGATTCCCGACTCCATCATCTCACGGGGTGTTCAGGTCCTTCCCCGTGACACGGCATCTCTGAGCACCACGCCATCCGAGTCGCCGCGCGCCCAGGCTACCTCCCGCCTCTCCACCGCTTCCTGTCCCACCCCCAAGGTGAGAGCGCCTCACTTCCTGTTTCCTGTCCCCGCACTGTTCACTTCCTGTCTGCTGTTCCTCTGCCTCCCCACCTCGCTCGCCCTGCTGCCGATCTCCACGCTCACCTCACCCCAAAACTCCTGTCAGAGTCCCATCTGTCTGTGGATTTCACAGGTTTCTGTTTCATATTTACGATATCGAAGAATTCTGTTTAGAACACTGCAAAAATGATTTTCTTTCTTAGTAATTTTGTCTCGTTCTCCAGTACAAATATCTAAACATTCTTAAGTCAAAATACATTTACTTGAGAATCAAAATATATATTGTTTTCTGAACAATTAAATGAGATATGCTTAAAACAAGAAAAAATATCTGCCAGTGGGGCCAGAAAAATAAACTGACTCCTTTTTCTTTCTTAAGTTGCAAAGAAATTAAGGTTTTTGAGGAAAACATTCCAGGATTTTTCACCATATAATGGACTTCAGTGGTGGCCAACGGGCTGAAGGTCCAAATTGTTGTTTCAGTGCAGCTTCAAAGGGCTCTACACGATCCCAGCCGAGGAATAGGGGTCTTATCTATTGAAACGATCAGTCATTTTCTAAAAAAAAATAAAAATTTATATCCTTTTTACCACAAATGTTCATCTTGCACTAGCTGGATTCACTCATTATGTAGTCACGTTGGAAAGGTCACGCGGAAGTACGACCCAGTGTTTACAAAGCGAACGTGCAAAGAAAGTCAAACGCCCTTTACAAAGAAAAGGTAAGACAATGATGTCGGACGATTTTGAAGTTGGAGGAGAAAATGAGATGAGTTTTTCGCCCTACCCCACCTTTTTGAACTGGAGTACACAGACGAAGAGCTAACCGTGCATGACCTTTCCAACGTGATTACGTCATGCGTGATGTCGTAGAAGCGCATCGCGGAGCTAGTTAGTGTGATTTTACATAAAAAAAAAACATAATTTAGAAGTAATATGCTATTTTCTATCCTGTTTTTGTGCCTCTCTGCAGAACGGTCTGTTTTTATAGGCGTGGGGGGCATTCAAGACTCGCAAGTAAACGCCCATTGCTATGATTGGCTAACAGTTTTGTTTATTAAAATAACAGATGAATGAATGAATGAGGCATTTATATAGCACTTTATTGTGTATTGCTGTACACCCAAAGCGCTTTACAATCATCATGAGGGGGGGTCTCTCCTCAACCACCACCAGTGTGCAGCATCCACTCGGATGACGCGACGGCAGCCACAGTATAGCGGCGCCACACACCAGCTACGGGTGGAGAGGAGAGAGAGATAGAGCCAATTCAGTGGATGGGGATTATTAGGAGGCCATGGTTGACAAGGGCCAGTGGAGGGAATTTGGCCAGGACACCGGGGATACACCCCTACTCTTTACAAGAAGTGCCATGGGATTTTTAGTGACCACAGAGAGTCAGGACCTTGGTTTAACGTCTCATCC